AAAACAGTACAAAGTCAACAAATCAAATGTTAAAATTGAAAAATTGTATTGTTTTTGAAAAATATTTGCCCATTTTGAATTTGATGACAGCAACACATTCCAAAAAAGTTGGGAACGGGGGTAACAAAAGACTAGTGAAGTTGTGTAATGCTAAAAAAACAGCAGAAGGTTAATTGGCAAAGGGTCATTAACACGATTGTGTATAAAAAGAAAATCCCAGAGAGGCTGAGTCTTTCAGAAGTACAGATGAGGAGGGGTTCAACACTGCAGAGGGGAAAGACTGCACAATCAAATAGTACATTAATTCAAGAATAACGTTTCTCAACATAAAATAGCAAAGAACTTGGGGATTTCATCATCTACAGTACATAATATTATTAAAAGATTTAGAGAATCTGGAGAAATCTCTGTATGCAAGGGACAAGGCCAAAAACCAGTATTTACTGGCCGTGATCTTAGGGCCCTCAGGTGACACTGCATTAAAAACAGGTATAATTCTGAAGTGGAAATCACTGCATGGGCTCAGGAACACTTCTGAAAAGCATCGTCTGTAAACACAGTTCATCACTGCATCCACAAACGCTAATTAAAACTCTACCATGCAAAGAAGAAATCAAATATAAACAGGACCAAGAAACACCGCCACCTTCTCTGGGCCTAAACTCATTTAAGATGGACTGAGGTGAAGTGGAAAAGTGTCCTGTGGTCCGATGAATCAAAATTTGAAATTCTTTTTGGAAATCATGGGCACCGCATCCTCTGGGCAAAAGACCATCAGGCTTGTTATCAGCACACAGTTCAAAAGCCACCATCTGTGATGGTATTGCGGTGCATTAGTGTACATGGCATGGGTGACTGTGGCACATCTCTGAAGGCTCCATTAATGCTGAATAATATAAACAGGTTTCAGCAACATATGTTGCCATTCAGACAATGTCTTTTTTAAAGGAAAGGCCCAGCTTATTTCAGCCAGACAATGCAAAGTGTTACAATGCTTGAGTTACAACAGAATGGCTTAGTAGTAAAAGAGTAAGTTGGCTAAACTGACCTGCCTGCAGTCCAGACCTGACACCCACTGAAAACATATGGCACTTTATGAAACAAGAAATACAACAAAATAGACCCCGAACTGTTGAGCAGCTGAAATCCTATATCAAGTAAGAATGGGAAAACATTTCACTTTCAAAACTACAGCAACTGGTCTCCTCAGTTCCCAAACACTTACAGAGTGTTGTTAAAAGAAGAGGTGATGCAGCACAGTGGTAAACATGACCCTGTCCCAACTTTTTTGGAACGTGTTGCTGCCATCAAATTCAAAATGAGCATATATTTTTCAAAAAACAATACAGTTTCTCAGTTTTAGATTTGATATGTTGTCTTTGTACTATGTTCAAATAACTAACTCTACACTCCACATGATGTAAAGGTTCTGTACCGGTTAAAGGTCTTAGAACCATATGACTTAGTCAAGAACCACTTAGAAACCTTATTTTTAAGAGTACACTTTTAAGCAGAAAATGTGGAAAACTATAAAAAAAAACAGGTTCAACAAGTTTAAAACATCAGTATGAATTTTCTCTTAAGAGTAAATAACACCTTTCGCAAAAACGGTTCCAACGGTTATGCAGCACCAAAAAAGGTTCTATAACTTATAACAATAGCAAAATTAGTTCCCCTACACGCTTAAAAATAATGGTTAAAACGGTTCTTCGATGGTTCTTCGTGAAAGACAATGGTTTTATATAGAGCCATGAACACTCACAGAACCATCTGCATGCTTAAATGGTTCTTTGCATGGTGAAAAGGTTCTTCAGATTGATGGAGAATGTGTTGCATATGATTCTATACAGCACCAAAAAGGGTTCTTCTATTGTTACATGCTTGACATTTCAACAATAGCAGAACTCTTTTTTAAAATGAGTGTAACTCACTTTTAGTTCTGCATCTCAGGTACAGAAATGTTTTTTTACCCATTTTGGGACTCCTTCCATCACACAATCCCACCAGCCATATTTCTTCTTGCGTCCCCAGTTATGGATGTCTGTGGCATTGCTGGGATTCGAACTCACAGCCTCCTGATGTTGGTGTAAATGTTGGTGTAATATTTTTAGTGCTGCATAAAACGTTATTATAAAATATTATTACTCAAAACCTTCTTTAAAGAACCATATTCAACAGGTTTTCCATCATAGAGGGGAACCATTTAACCATGCCAATAACCATTTATACAATAAAGTGTTTTGTTGAATGTTCACAGTTCTATGTGGAACCATTGCCTCTATTAAGAAACCCTTAAAGAACCATAAATAAAAAGCACTGAGTGTTTGTGCTGCATGTTTGTCCTAAAGAGTTCACACTGACTGAACTTGCTTAATCCCAATCTTAACGTCTGAAATGATCTGATAGTCTAAAAGTGCAATAACATCTTCTGCATGTAAATAGCAACTTTATTGTACTGTAAACAGGATTATCTGCATTGCACATTTATTGGATTGCTTGCTAAAATGATTTATTAACACTTTTATAAATTCTGTTATAACGATGTAGATTCAAGCCTTGTCTCAGGTGGTGCTTCACACTACAAGTACAATTCTGCTTATTTGAGCGTTTTAGTTCCCTTAAACGCTTTTAGTAAATCATTGCACTATTGGCCTCATTTAGTTCAGCTGATGCGCATCAAAACAAAATCACACCATATAGTAATAAACATTGATTGATTCATTATGGATTGATTGGCTAGTTCGCTCATTCAGAAATCTGCATTTCATCGTTTCATTTTAATCAGTAGTTTTCAAGCCACGGCCACAAGGGGGCGATCATTGACAGGACCTTCTAAACGAACTGGGCACCCAACGTCACACTCATCACACTGCCGCGCGCTGCTCTGTGCTACACCAGCCTAATTATCATATTAGCACATTTCTTACAAAATCAAAGCACATAAAAACTGTAAAATGCAGGCAAACGGAAAATACTTCAAAAGAAAGAATACGTCAGAAAAACAAACGGAAAAACACACAAACAGGTGTTGAAGACAGATCATATCAAAGTGGTGACGCGCTCTGAATGAGAGTGGAGGTTTAGATGAAGCTGAACGAACAGTCAGTACAGACTCTGGTCAGACTCTGAAGATGAGACTACACGTTTGGCAAATGGTATTCGGTTCATTTCTGGCTAATTCCAGGTTGTTTAGGTGGTGATAACAGTTTGGAAATTTAGTGTAGTCTCATCTTCAGAGTCTGACCAAATCGGCTGTCGGTCAAATGTAATCAAAGTATCCATTTTCTGTGAATTCCTCTGATTGGCCCTGTGGTGAAATATCACTTTAATCTCCTTAATATTATAGAAACGAACAAGCTTCTGGAATAAATCTATAACTGGAAATAATAATAATAATAATAATAATAATAATAATAATAATGAAATTGGAGTACACTTTTTCAGGAACGGTTAGCTTTTTTATTTACTGTACACTCTTAAAAAGATGGTTCTTCGAAGGTTTTTTGGTAAAGGCAATGGTTCTATTGAGAACCATGAGTTCTATTTGGAAATAGTTCATGCTAAATAGTTCGTCAGATTGAAAGAGAATGTGTTGTAGATGGTTCCTTTTAGAAAATGACTCTGCATAGCGCCAACAGGGGTTCTTCTACTGTTACACCGTCAAGCTTGTAACCATAAAAGAATCCTTATTAGTGCAATAAAGAACGATTTTCAAAAAGCGTCTATACAGGAGATATACGTTCTCCAACAATCTGAGTAACCATTTTACAATGCGAGAATATGTTGTAAATGGTCTATATAGAACCTTTTTGAAAAGTTACATAGCACCAAAAAGGGTTCTACTATTGTTACAAGTGTGACATTGTAAAAACATAAGAACCCTTTTAGGAGCTATATAGAACCTGGTTCTATATAGAACCATTTTTTTCCCCTGAAGAACAACTGAAGAACCATCTTTTTAAGATTGTACATCAAAGTGTAGCTAAACTGAAATGAATGATGTAAACAACTATATGCATTTTGTTTTTCAAGTATGGCTCTTTCATAGTTAAACAAAACTTGACTTAAGTGGCTTAGAGATCTGCACCAGCTTCGGGGCCAGTTTAGTTCCAGTCGGTGGTCAGGATTGCAGGACTGCAGACTGTCAGGACTGTCAGAGCAGCACAGAGCTCGCCTAGTTGCACGACAGTTTACTTTCACTTTGCTGTGTTTCATTTACTGTGCTAATCTATTGTTACATATTTATTTATGTGTTAGTGTAGTTGTTTGTGGCTTTGTGTTTAATGCTTTATTTCATTTTAATTGATTTAAATTGAGCGTGTAACTGTAATATAACTGAAACAAACGCCGCTGGCTCTCCTCACTGAGGTGAGAAGTGCTCTAATCCACTTCGAGCTGCACCATTTGGGACACGCACTCTTTTTTCGTGTGCCCCTTTTGTTCTCCCCTCTACTTCACACTCGCTTTTTTTTCTCTAATCAGCTAACCTGGGACTTTATTATAGGCTCACTACCATCAGCAGAGAATCTCAAAAAAGAAAAAAGAAAAACGGACAGAGATGAACTTTTCATTCCTTACATCAACATGACGACCTCTCTATTTCTTATTCTCTAAACACCCTGCTTAACATCTGAGTGCGTGAATGCTCGCTTATAATCTGCCTTATTTCATTTCCCACCTATATTCCGGCGGAATCCCACCTTCTCTCCTACAACTGGCGGGTAAGTCATACTAAGAGCAGTCCCCCAATCCTGGCTCAGCAGCAGGGCCCCCAGTAGCCAATCCTAGCGCAGAACGTAACCCTGGCAGGAATACGGGTCCAGCAGGGTTGGAATACGGGTAGGGAAAATATCACCAGCGCGTCCATGTCCACGCACAGATGTGAGCTCCCATTGGCCGAAGAATGTAGCTGGGGGAGGAGCGCGCGCAGACACGCACGCGGCCAAAAAGGCAGCACCTTTTTTCCTCCAAAAAAGTTTCTCTGAAGTGACGGATGCTTGGAGTTCATAACTTTTCCCTCCTCCGGTGACTTTATCCACGTTTCACGTTTTTTTTTCATTCTCACACTTGGACGCACGAGCGAGTGGACTAACAATCACTTCGACTGCAAAAGGTGGTCGAAAAGCGTCACCCTCTCATACACGCGCGCTGTATTTTTCTCTATTCAGTTTTTTTGGATGCCGTGAGTGACGCTCCGGCGCGCGTGTGAGTTTGTGACAGAGGGCGCGATGCAGGCGCGCTACCCGGTGCCCAGCCCCAGCTCCCTGGGCGTCGTGCCGTACATCACGGGCGAGCAGGGCTACTACCGGGCAGCAGCGGGCGGCGGCGGGGGCGCGAGCTACACGGGCATCCCGTCGCCCATGAGCGTGTACACGCACACGGCGCACGAGCAGTACGCGTACGGGCCGTACGTGCACCAGCAGCAGCACCACCAGCAGCACCCGCAGCCGTGTCCGCTACAGCCTAAAGACGCGGTGAAGCCCCCGTACAGCTACATCGCGCTCATCACCATGGCCATCCAGAGCTCCGCGGAGAAGAGGGTGACGCTGAACGGCATCTACCAGTTCATCATGGAGCGCTTCCCGTTCTATCGCGAGAACAAGCAGGGCTGGCAGAACAGCATCCGCCACAACCTGAGCCTCAACGAATGCTTCGTCAAGGTGCCGCGGGACGACAAGAAGCCTGGCAAGGGCAGCTACTGGACGCTGGACCCGGACTCGTACAACATGTTCGAGAACGGCAGCTTCCTGCGGCGCCGGCGGCGCTTCAAGAAGAAGGACGCGGCGCGGGAGAAGGAGGAGCGCGCGCCTCGCCGCGAGGAGCGCCACGAGCACGAGGAGGAAGAGCAGGAGGAGATGATGGGGGCGATGAAGAAGGAGAAGGAGAAAGAGGAGGAGGCCCGCAGAGCCGTGGTGAAGCTCGGAGAGGTGAAGACGGAGAACGGCGCGTGCACGCCGCCCCAGACGCCGCACGTCGCCTCCACGCTGCTCGCGTGCGTGACTAAAAGCGAGAGCCCGGAGGCCGGCAGCCCGCGCTTCAGCACGGCAGACGGCGTGGCCTCGCTTCCCGCGCACTACAGCCCGCCCTGCGGAGGCCTGCCGGCGGCGTACGCGTACGCGGCGGAGCGCGCGCACGAAGACGCAGCGGCGGCCGCGGGAGGAGTGCCGGATTACTCGTGCCACGAGGCGCGCCAGAGCCGGATTGCGCCCTGGTGCCTGGGACAGAGCGCGAGCGTGATGGGAGGACAGCAGCAGCAACAACAGCAGCAGCAACAACAAGGGGGCTTTCCCAGCTTCCAGGCGCTAAACGGGTCGTCGCCGGTAACCGGCTGCCAGAGCGCTTTCCCCGCAGCGCCGCCGCCGCTCTACCGGGGCGCGGGAGCATTCGTGTACGACTGCAGCAAGTTCTGATTAAACAAACAAAACACATAACCGCCTCTCTAAAGCGGGACTGCAAGGGCGCGTGCGGTTTATATTCTAATATTAAACGGAAGGGTTGGAGTCGGAGTTGGAGCGCGCGCTCCGCTGCGTGGCCGCGGTGAGTAGAGGAGGCTGAAGGCGCTCTCTGGAGTTTAAGCGGACTCCCCTCCACACTCCTCAGCACACTTAATTTATTCACAACAGCAGGTTCTCCACAGATGAAATACCAGTACTATTTATATAATTCAACACGGAACGGGACTGTATAGAAAACCAAACATTTCTTTCTTTCTCTCTTTTCTTTTTTCTTTTTTTCTTTTTTAATTGTTGAATTGATTCCAAATATATTATTTGGTGAATAAATCTTCCTTTCTTGTTGAAGCTGAACCCTGGAGTGAGTGATCGGTTTGCTTGGTGCAGTAATCGCGGCCAAAGGTGATACTGAGATACTGATCAGCATATTTTTATTTAGATGTCAGTCTAAGCACTAAACAGTGTGTAGAGGGCTGCTGCTTTAAGGCATTATAACTCTATTAAACCTATTAATAAGGTTACTGTTTTACCCTAAATTGGTACCACGAGCGCAGAGCTCCACAGGCCTCGCGGACTGTTTACAGATTTTTTCAAAATGTAGATGCTGTTGTTATTTTAGTATTATTGCTAATGAAGAAACAATAGCAGCAACTAACAATACTAAACATTATAATAATAACAACCACAATCAGAATAAACACAGTAAAACCAGCTCAAGCCTCGTTTACACTTTAATCTTAATCTGTTTCAATAAATTCTCAAAAAAGGACCTGATTAACAAGCCTTAATGTGAGAAAACGTCAGACGCGTTTACACACTGTTCCAACGTGAATCACTGGCTGCCCAATAACACTTATTTCAGGCCTCATCACCATTTCAGTCAACAGTTGAATGGAAATAAATGAACAAACACGGTAATAGAAAAAAAGCAAATCTGATAAATTATTAACTGAAATGTATCAATTTCTGTAACTTTTAACATTAACTTTTAATATACTTTTAAATGAAGTTTAATTCAAGAGCTGGTTTACTGTAAATAAGACATGTCTACAAAATCCACAACCTGAAGTTGAGCATGAATGAAACCAGCTCTGTTTCCACTGAATGTAATTAGCTCTATCAGATAGATGACAGTGTTTGTGCAGCTCTGCGTGTTCAGCACTAAACAGCTTTATTTTTAGCTGACTGACCCCAGACTGCTGCCAGCGGAGGCTCCGTCAGTCTGAATGGTCACAATTAAACCTCACTTTTGCGTTATTTGTCAAACCGTTAACAGACGGAGTCAACGCTAAACTGCGATTACAAGCTAAACAAGTGCAACTGAGAGCTCACAGGCCTAAACAGCGTCTTAATTGAGTTTCAGCCTTAAACGCCCTTTTACCTTCAGTGAGAGCTGCGACCCCTCAGGCGAAGGTTTCAATGGAAAGTGGAAAAAAATAACGTGATGCTTTGAATCGACTAAATTGTGTTAAGTGACTGAAATCACAACTATTGCCAAAACAAGTAAACCTAAAGAAGTACTGTAATTTTTTCATGTGAGCACTTGACAACCAGGAATCATTTAGGTCAGTGTAGGTTTCACCAAGTTCAAGTTTCGAAGACTTAAATGCGCAGCTTTAAATTTTGTTTTGAAATATGGACTTAGGAGGCCACAGCTCTCCTACTGGATTTAAAGCTGCAATGCTTTGAACAGCTGGATGTGGTCAGTCTGTGTAATACACGCCTTCGGGTTAAATGATGGAAGGTTTTGGAGATAAACTGCATTGTGTGAAGATTAGAAGAGAGAAAGAGAGAGGGAGAGAGAGAAAGGAAGGGCTGTAAGTGGGTGTGTATGTGTTGCTGTGTGTTTGTGTGTGCCCGCAGGGTCTGTGTTAGAGTCTTTTTTTTTTTTTCTTTTTTTTTGCTCGGACCCGAGTGCCAAACGCAGTGCAGGTGTGTGTTCAGGGCTCGTGGCAGTGAAAGGCTCTTTGTTGTGATCGTTCAGACCGAGAGGGGAACACGACACCGCGCGGAGGCCCTGCGGGAGTTAACGAGTCAAACACTCTTCACACACACTCACACACTCGCACGTCTAGTCTACTGATGCGGACGAAAACAGTCGCTTTTTTCCGCAGTCATTTTATTCACAAGGAATGTGTTCTTTTTTTTTTAAAGTGTTGACTTTCAGGCGCAGCAGGTTTTAGTTATTCTGGCCATCAGCTAAAACTGTTTAACAGTTTCAGAAACTCTTGTTTATTTTGTTTATTCTAATTTTAGATGATGCTTACTGGTGGACAGTGCAAGAACCAATAATAATAAGAAGAATAATAATAAGTACATTTAAAAATAATAATAATAATTAACATAAATCCTGAGCCTTTGACCTCCTTATGAAGGTGCTTTCCATAAATGTCTGCAGTGCAGTGTGGATGCATGTTTTGTGGGCGATTCTATAGTGGTGGAAACTCATGTATTTTCATTCCAGTTTCGTTGCTGCCTACTGTTAGATTCCTTCTAGATAAGCTTATAGAACTGCATTGTTAAATTAGTGGGAAACTGAATAAAATAATAATTATTCAGGGCATATGGCATCTCTTATAAAAGCACAAAGACCTCAGTTTATTCCAGCATTACCTGATGATTACTGATGCGTTCTTCTTATGTGAGTAAAAGTAAAGGCCCATGTTTATGATATACAATTTCAGGGGAAAATATCACAAAAGAATGGTTTATTATTCAGAGCTTTAAGACATGCGTGCTCGTCTCACCACACATGCATAAACACGAAAGGCCAGCAAAAATACTAAACTATGAAAGAACTAATCTCCAGCAGGGAATATTACACAATCAAACGCAGTACAGTAACCAGGCAGTTGTTAGTGCCTGAATCTAGATTGTTCAATAAAGTGAGATTTCACTCCAGAACAAGCCGAATTCCGTTCGGTTTTTAAAACACTTTTTCTTTTTCTCCTGGGCTACAAACACACCTGCAGACATGATGTATTTAATGCATTTGAAGCAGAATCTCAGTTAGACGCAACAAAAGAAGTAATATATAGAATATTTCATACAGTCGTTTGCAAAGGTTTGGACACAAACTGTTTTGTTGACTTTTTTTTTGGATTTGAGAATAAATTCACATCCTCTACAGTGAACATACTTACTGTTTATTTACTGAATTTAACATATTGCCCTGTGCTATGGCAGGTTATGGCAATTTTATATTTTCTATTTTTTCACAATATTTTAAACTCAGTAAATAGACTGCTCTAAAATTTGCAGAGAAAAAGACACATTTAAGTGTGCTCCCTGTAGAGGGTGTGTTAACTTATTTTCACTTAGGAAATGAACGAAACGTAAAACACGACTCCAACTCCATCCTGTTTTGCTTCTCTATATGAATTGAAATCCTTGACTCCTCGTATGATCTGATGTCCCATACTGTCTAAAAGGCACTAATCCACAGTAGAACACCACACAGTGGGAAGACCCTCAGCTCGAGCGGTGGGAGACCACGAACACTGGAGTCTACAGTGTAACACAGTGAACTAGAGAGATCTCTCTCATTCATTTGATTTGCTCTGTGTTCAGTCAGCTGTAGGGCTTCTGTATGAAGGCTATCAGGGGAATGATAATTTGTCAAATTGTGTTTTTATTATATGTAAACAATTTAGAAACTACACTGGGTTTTACAGCCTAATCAGACCTTTAAAACTCTCCCGTGACGACAGACTTTCCCTCAAAAGACATTTAGAAGTTCACTGACGCAGTGCCATAAATATTGTTACACAAAGCAAACTCAGACATACAGGATTTAATGAGTGCAGGTTTATTACTGATATATTTAGGACGGTTCTCAGCGCGGTAAGATAGGTCAGTTTTACTTCCCTCCCAAAATACTCTCATTCGTTTTCTCTCACATCTGTATTTAGACAGGTGAAGCAGCAAGTGACTACTTTAAGATTTAGCTGCCGCACAATAGAAGATCAAAACAATCACGGTTTCTGGTTTTGAAGATTGTAACGGCGCTATTGAGCTTTTTATGCCTTTATTCATTTCCAGGAAATCATTGGCGTGCTCAGTATTTTACTGGCCGCTGGCTGCTAATGGCGAAAGGCTGTAAGGAAATAACGTAGGAAGTCATTTTTATCCTTTATTCTTCCAACATACGCAGTCAAATCAGAAATATAGAAGAGAAATTTAAAATAATGAAATAACTAAAGAAATAAAGCGAAGTCTCGGCCCGCTGCACTGCTGTTGTGTCTTACAGCACCTCTCTATTTAAATGAACTCTCCTGTTATCTTTACATTTACTAACATCTTTTTTCTTGGGGTTTCAGCAACTGATTATAATTATTGTTAGACAAGTTTATGTGTCAGGTAATTTGTTTCTTTGCAAAAAAAGTGTCAATCATTTATTTAGAGACATTCATCATTGAATGTCCCCAAAGATAACATGATCACAGAGAATTTTCGCCAAAATTTTTATCTGGTCATGTATTTAAATTCCGCTTCAAGTAGAAAATGCGTTTTTTGTTCTACATTTTATTCTACACAGAACATACATGTAACGTTGTCGTTCTTATCAGCTGAATGATTAAATCGACTGATCAGTTTAATAAACACAAGATCAGCCATCTGTGGTTAGTGAGCCGCGCAGGCTGGAGTCGCTGCTGCTTCTCCGCTCTAATCATTTACACCAGAGGATTTAAGGCTGAGCCCTCAGACTCCTCACTGCACCAACACACGAGGAGCTGAGGGCTTTAGTCTGCTCCTGTCTGTCCCTCTCTTATCTGCTTCTTTTTATTATCATTTAAAACCAAACCTAAAGAAGACAATGCGATTCTGAAATAAGTGGTAGACGAGTGAACTCTGCACTCTGAACTATGTGTTAAATAACAACACAATTACTTGTGTCACCGGTTTTAATACTTTTTTGTCATATTGTTTCCTGATTTAACACATTGTGTGTTAAAAGTAAAATGTGTTGTCTCCAACTGAACACGTTGATGTCTAGTCAGAGACAGGATGTGCTGTGTTGTTTTTAACGCATCTGTTTTAAGAGTGTGCTCACAATCTCACAATGAAGAAAAACAAAGATACTCTGACCGGAGACGACGTGACATCAGAATGAATAAAAGATGACGCGTCAACGCATTTTTAATGCCAGAAGCAGAACTGAAAGACAACAGCTGCGTTGATGTAACGCGTTTTATTCACGCGCAAGATTCATATATTTGAATCCTGAACAATTTGGTCTACAAAAGTACAAAAAAGGGATTTGAACCTCTTCAACAGTGAGCGCGAGGACTGGAGGAGCGTTGATGACACAGAGCAGAAAAGCGCGCGACCTTTCAGATCAGAGGGTGAACCCGAGTCTGTGTTCTGTACTCTGATCTCAGCACGAGCTCGTTTTTCCTTCGATTTTCACTTCTCAAAATTAAACAGTCACCGATTTATCTGCAGCCATCAAGCACTCTCGGCTTGTAAACTCTGCTGGATGGTACTGAGATTTAGCCCAGGATTTCAGACAGAGCCTCCAGCTTTGCCTCTCTGAGCTGGAATTCACTATTCACTCCATGTTTTCCTTCTTTAAATGTCTCCCACCGCACACACAGCTCTTTCTGTCAGAGACGCATTTTGGGGGGCTTTCTGCTGCGCTCCGTGCACCTGTGCGACACCGCTGTTTTGGCTCCCGGGGGCCCGAGGCGCCGTCTGCTTTCAATCAGGTCCGCGCACACTGGCTCTGTGTTGGAGTGGTTTAAATGGCACTCCGCAGAACTCGACGTGCAGTCTGAGGAAAAAAATAATAAATCTTGAGCCTTTGCCCTTCTTATGGAGGCTTTTTCCATAAATGCTGATGTAGAACAGCCTTTCCAGGAACCTGACACGCGCAGTGCAGTGGGTTCAGGTATTGTGGGGGGGCGCTTTAAGAAACTCTTGTTTATTCCACTTTCATTCGCTGGTCACGAGTGAATTCGTTGAAGAAAGAAACATATAGGATCAAAATATAAATAAATACATGTGGGTAAATAAGCTCGTTAAAGAGCGATTTCACGTATTTAAAAAAACGTCTACGGAATTAAACGGTTGAGATGTTATCAGAGTCATTCAGAGTGGTTTGATGGGAAATGATCTGTTCTAGAAAAACGAACCGAGTCAGTGCTGTTCACAGTGGTGGTGATAGGAACCAGATGTCTGAATAGTTACAAGTTTATAAAAGCTACCTTACAGAAGGTGATCACATGAAATGGTTATGCCTGAAAACATCGCTTCATGATATATATATATATATATATATATATATATAATATATATATATATATATATATATATAATATATATATAATATATATTCACGGTGAAGAGGTTCATAAGGCAAAATAATCCTCAAAGAAAACTTTTCAGATTTATTTCCACTATTATTCATCATTATCATCAATACATGCTAAAGCTTAGAAGATCCAAGAGCCCATGTAGATCCACTGCTCGTTTCGGACAGTAAGTAAAACAGCTTCCGTTGTGACCCCTTGTTCCTATCACCACGACACTGTTACAAATGAAGGTACTGCGCAGGTACATTTTTCATTAATGAAGTACAAACAATGTAAATGTACCCTCGAAAATACAACAGTGATTTTAAGCTCCAGTAAGTTCTTCCCAGTGAAAACGTACACATTTGTACCTTTTCATAACCAAATGTTTTAAAACAGAACAATAAAATAAAAAGCCTGGAGACAGTCGGGGCGTGTGGAGTCAATACAACTTACAAAATATAATTTCAATGGATTATGTTGGAATTATGTTCCCTGACTAAAGGTACTGAAATGTACCTTTGAGGGTACCACCCCAGTGACAAGACAGTTTAGCATCTTTTTTTTTTCTCGGAGAGAGCACTGTAAAGATATTTGAGCAGGTAAGTTTCTCTACAACCAACTATTTCATCTCAAACTACTCTGAAATTCAATGGGCCTCATTCACTAATATCTTTCAAAATTTTGTTAAGACGTGTTCTTGAGAAAGGTGTTCAGAAAAACGTAGGCTACGTCAGATTCGCAATGTGTTCTTAAACTGCAGAACTGTTCACTCCTTTACGCTCTTGAGCGTAGATTCTGTTCTTGCCTAAGACCAAATCCCAAATAAGAACATCGGTGAATCAGTCAGTCTTCGTGAAAACCGCGTGAGTGGGTTTTAAGAAGAGATTTGTTCTTAAGAACGGTTGGTGAAGGAGACCCTTTGTTTACACTTATTAACGCTTTAATTCTGTAGACGTTTAGAAAAATCAGTGCTCTTTAACGAGCCCACGTGTATTTATTTATATCTTTATCCTATTGTATATTTCCCTTTTGAACGAATCCACTAGTGAGCAGCGGACAAAAGTGAGATAAACAAGTTTCTTAAACTGATATGGACACAGAAGTGTGGGTATTTGAATAAAAGATTGACCGTCATTCAGGGCTTATGGCGCGCTAGTCCTGTAATACAGAATCCAGCACTGTGTCAGCTGAAGACTTCACTGTTGTCCGCTCTTCACTTTATCTCCCTCTTCTGAACAACTAACACACCGCGGCTAAATATCGCTAGTGTACATTTTTATGTACATCTAGCTAAACAAACAGAGGATGAAGCTGCAGTGGAGTGCCTGGTTCTCGCCCGCGGGGTGATTAAACTCGAGCCGTTTTACGAGCAGAGCGCGAGCGCCGAAATGACCCACGCGGTACCTGCAGGACAACAAGGGGCCAGTTGTGTTCATTCAGGCAGGGGAGGAGAGGGGTAATTTAGGGGGTATTTGTGGGAAGGGCTCGGTGACCCTCCGGTAACCTGAGCTCGCTGGCACGAGCCTCCGTTTGACACACCGAGTCCTGAATATCTGCACTCATTTACACACTGATTTACAACAGAGAGGCGGTCTGCACAGGTACTTTTCCCAGTGGCCTCCTCAGAGGTACATCACCGGACTTTAAAGGCCAGATGACTTTCCGTCGACGGAAAGGCTAGAAAGTCTCTCGTAGCAGAAAACAGCACAAAGCAGCGCCATTTAACCCCAAAGCAAAGGCTCAGCACGCAGAGCAGCGCAGCATTAAACCTGCCAGCTCAGAGACTTACTAGTATTTATGAACTATCGTGCAGGATGAGGCTTAAGGTGTGGGATTGTGGCGGTCGTCTTTAAATTAAATCAACAAGGGCTAAATGAATCTCAGCTATCACAGGCCTACATTACATGTGTATGAAACTGTTTGACCTGTTCACCTTCTGCAGTGTTTAGCTCCAGCACACCTGATCCAGACAGTCCAGGTGTTTATGGCAATCCTAAAGTTCAAACAGAACCAGGTGTTCTAGATTAAGGTCCAGACTGAAGCTTTATATAATCTTGAAAATCTAACCAACAAGTAACCCAAATGAGCATTATATTCATAACCACAGCGCTGTAGCTTACTGGGATGCATTTCAGTATCAAAGGTAACATCTGCTTTTAATCTGAATTAAGTCCTCACTTGCAGACTACAAAATTCATTTAAAGAGTAATCCCACAAAGGAATATTGCTGAGATTTGAACAAAGTCATTCAGAGCGGTTTGTTGTGAAATGCTCCATTCTAGAGAAACTTACAGGGACAGAACTGTTCACAGTTGTGGTGATAGGGACCAAACTTCCAAAGCGTTTAATGTTTCTTAAAGCTGTATCAAATAAAGCTATACAAAATTGTTACCAAGATGTTGCCTGATGCCTTTATTATGGTATTTTACTATAGTTTTAGACACCATATTGGCATAAAAGTTCATTTTAAATGAATTAATACTGGAGAGACACATGCAGGGTGTTACAAGGCAAAATAGTACCCTTTTCCCAGATATTTACCATTACCAACATCATATTTAAAACTCAGAAGACACTGTAGGATCACTTGTCATTTTGGATAGTTAATAAAAGACTATATTTGTGTTGTAGACATAGTGACCCCTGGGTCCTATCACTACCACTGTAAAGATGTTGGTACATTTCTGTACATTATTTCAAATTAAACCACTCTGAATAACTTTTACATCTGAAAAAATGAATTTTGCAAACATTTTGGAAAATTAATTTTAATATTAGTCAGAAAGTTCATCAGGTGAATGAAAATAAAGATAATAAAAGGCATTTGTTTGAAAATGATCCAAAATCCCTTTTAATAAACAAAATCAAGTTTAAATATTTCAGACTTAAAGGACATGATTTCACATACTCTTTTAAAGATGGTAATATATATATATATATATATATATATATATATATATATATATATATATATATATTTTTTTTTTTTTTAAGGACGATTTTCAGGATACATTATGACTCTTCTCAGACTAAATTACACAATCTCAGTCAAAACTCTTTCAATCTAGAGAACCATCCCTCTATTTCTGCGAAAAATCTATAATTTAATTAAATATTACCTATAGAGCCTCATAATCATAATGACAGTAAAATATAAACCTTATAAAAACCCGGATAAAAATAATTTCAACAGAAAAAAGGCTAAAAAATTCCGATACAATCATGATTAGAAATATACCAGTGTAAAGAGAATGGAATGTAAAAGGCCGCACTGAGTCTTCCTGTATCTGAAGGAACTGCAGGCAGAAGGACGGAGTGCTTGTAAAGAAAGATACTTAAGCGTGCTCTTTCATGCATCAGAATCTCACTCACTCACACACACACTCATTCACACACACTCACACACACACGCACACACTCTTCCTCGGCATGTTGATGTGCTGCTATGGCATGTGGGCTCATGCATTTGGGTTGGTCTTCATGAGCTCAATATCTGCGTCCACCATCTCCTTAACCAGGTCCTGTCAGACAATATTACACAAACAGACTATTAGTATCACAGTAAAATTACAGACAGTATACAGGGTCAACGGGGAGTAACAATATGCATTTTAATATTCTTTATTTACAAGACGCTGCAAGATTGATCTATAGTTACATATTATGCTATAAAAATATTTTGATGTATGCCATACTGATAAACTGGAATAGTTTAGATGTTGATATTAAAATCACTTCTATTCAAAGGGTAATAATTTAAATAGACACAAAGGTATTACAATTTCACCAGGTGCTGTGGTCTTTTTTTGGCAAATACAATTACAATACAGATCATGAAATTTGTGCGGCAATGATCAAGGGACCATCTGTCTGAATTAGTTGGTATGCTCACCTCAAATGTCACTTTTGGCTTCCACCCAAGTATTTTCAGAGCTTTAGTGCTGTCACCCTGGAGAAAGTCCTGTAGAGAGACAGAGAGACAGCATGAGAAAAACATAAAGGCAGAAACACAATAACAGAGAGAGCGAGAAAGAGAGAGTGAGACAAAAAAAAAACAGAGATAGAGAAGAAAGAGAGAGTAAAAGAGAAACAAAAAGAGAGAAGAATGAGGGAGAGAGAAACGAGAAAGAACAAGATAAGGGATGAAAGTGACAGAGAGCAAAAGGACAGTTAAAAGAGAGAAATAAAGAAATAACAGACAGAAAAGAGGGAGAGAGAATGAGAAACAGAGACAGACAGAGAAAAGGAAGACAGAGAAAAAAGAAGAGACCGACACAAACACAGTAAGTGTGTGACAGCGAGGGAGTCGGAGAGAGAGAGACAGAGAGAGAAATTACATTTTCTCCTCTCTTATTAAAAAGACCTCCCATACTGTACGACACCCCCCCCAACGCCTATGCTACCAACACACACACACGCACACACACACACACACACACACACACACACACACACACACACACACGCATACACACACACACAGGTGTCAGGCTGTGTCTTTTGGGGAGGGTGGATGGTGGAAGGCGGACGGTGGGGCAAAGGCAGACCATCTATCCAACTCAGCCCCCTCCTAACCGCTGAGCATGATGGATGATGTGGCTCTAGTGGCCTAACTAACCCGCTCTTGTTCTCTCTGCCTCCCTCTGTCTCCGTGCAGCACAGGCAGAATGAGAAATGGACTTTCAGAAGAGATTCTCAGAGTGCCAACAAAGAGCTTAAAGAGCCTTTATGGTTGATCTGATTACACTGAAGCGCTAAAGAACCAGAAAACACACAGGAGCGCACACGCACACAAGCACTTCAACAGCTCTGTGAAGACCAGATTTAATACAAACTCTCGATTCATATGTGAACCATCAAGTGTTTTTTTTTTTTTTTATAAAATTGAATCTCTACTCAATTAAGTTAACTAATTCACATAAACAGATCTAGCTTAGAAACTAATTACAAAAATAGCTTTCATTTATCAACTATATGGAACAGCATGCAACTATCATAATCAAGGCCTATATTAAAGCAGTATATTAATCATAATTAGGTTTTACTGAAGGCTAAATTAATCTCAGCTGTTTATGTCACCCACCCAATTCAGCATGTATCACATAAAAACTACCAGAGAAATATTCAGAGATAAAGTTAGTTATGTTGGAGTTACGAAACGAAAGGAATGTGCATGTTAATTCATGCCTTGTGAGTATGAGACTGAAAGAAAGACTGAGTGAGATAGAGAGATACGACATGAATATTACCGCTTAAACTGCACGCTGGGATTTCAGCTCAGAGCTCTGAATGTTCTAAAACAGTGGCGGTAGGGGGGTGTGGGGTGTGACTGACTGGACATGAGAAATGAAAAAGACCGCATTGTGGTTTTAAAAGAAGGAGAGTGAGCCGAAGCTACCAAAACTAAATACAACTGTCATGGAGAGAGGTCAGCATACTTAACTGTGGAAAAGTATTTGACTAATGAGTGTGCATGTGCAGGATAGAGTGTCAGTCATAAATCAATGCCATTCACACCAAGAGCTGCTCTGCCAGTCTGTAGTCTGATATCACCACTGAAACGATCTGATAGGGGTTGAGAAATTATCGCTGTGGTTGCAAATGTAGTAAATAAAATGCAAACAGAGAATAAATCTGTGCGAGAGCCACCATCATCATCATCAGGGTGGATTTTTATAGTGTGTGACTGAGTGCACTTAATGCAAAGGAGTTCAGGACAAAAAGAAAGTGGGCTCAACAAACATCAAGGGACCTGGGTTAACCTCCCCCCCCCAACACACACACACACACACACACACACACACCAGCATTCACCTTCATTCCTGAGTGAATAAAATTGGCTCGGACATTTTGCTGTGAATTTGTGAAGACACAATGCAATCAGTCATCAACAGAGAATTTGCTTTCCTTCTGAGTGAAAGATTGTTATCATTAAATAATGCTGGACTCTCTCTCCTTCCCTCTCTCGTGTGTCTCTTGACTGGCTGTTGTTTACAGAGGAAAATCATTAGAATGTTTCAGACTTTCACACATCAGCAACATCCTGAGGCAGCCCACATGAAGCCATGCAGCAGACCTGTATATATACATATACACACATCTATATGTATACACACACACACACACACACAAACACACACACACACACACACACACAGATCTCAAGCTCTCTGAGCCCACTTTATTTGGATGGCCCCCTATAGATTATTACAAACTAACTTTCTGGTGATTGTCCACAGCATTAAGGTTAGTATTAAGTCTTGAGTTGAGGTTAGGATACGGATGAGTGAAATTAGGATACATTTTATAGATTTAGTTGAATACAAATTAAAATTAAGATGCACCTCTACATAGCATCTACTGTGCACCATTCAAATAAAGTTTCTGTATCAAGTTCTCAGTCACAAACCAGTACACATTAGTAGCGATGCACAATAACATCATATCAGTATCAGAAGACAACTGCTTATTGAAAAGATGCTTGTGGACATATTTCTGGAACTCCAGAAGAACAGAATGTTTAAGCAATGCTGGGCTACTGCCCTAAAAGGTCTGCATTATATTCATTTTACTGCATTGGTAATCCTCTAAAAATAAATGTTACTATTCTCCGTAACCCTCAATCCAAGAGGATTTCATAAATGTTTATGTATCAGCATCAGCAGATATGTACCTGAAAAATATAGAGAATTGACATAACCTGCAATTCACCATATTGGTGCATCCCTACACATTTGTCAGCCTCAGTCCACCCACACCACAGAGCTAAATGGACCATCTGATATGTTGTATATCAATAAGGCCATAACTATGGGATTTTGTCAGTTATCCTGTCACTGGATATCCACACTACCACATATATGCACTTTGTGCACAGTTTTACATCAGTCTGTCAGTAGCTGACTGCTCTGCATATGATAAAAACAATGAATCTTTCTGAGCAACACTCTTAAAAAAGATGGTTCTTCAAAGGGTCTATAGTAAAGACAATGGTTCTATATAAAACCATGAACACTTAAAGATTTGCATGCTTAAAGGGTTCTTTGCATGGTGAAAAAGGGTTCTTCTATTGATACAAGCTTAACATCATAACAATGGCAGAACCCCTTTTGGTGCTAAACTTTCCAAAAAGGTTCTATACAGAATCATATACAACACATTTTCCATCAATCTGAAAAACATTTTCTGAAACATTTTCTGATGCGAAGAAACCTTTAAGCATGCAAATGGTTCTTTGTGAGTTCATGGTTCCATAAAGAACCACTGTCTTTACTAAAGAACTTTGAAGAGCCAGCCTTTTAAGAGTGAAGATATATAGTACTGTGCAAAAGCCTTAGGTCATTTGACAAAATTACATGTAAAGCTTTAATCTGAGCAGAAAGTGTTGTTTTATTCTAAAACAAAGAAAAAAACACTAATGTTAGAATCCATATGGTCTGTCAACATTTTAGCTTAAACATTTCCAAAACTCTCAAAATGAACAGTTACCTTCAATACCTGCTTCAGTTAAATAATCCTTCATTTAATGCTAGAGTGCATTGTGAAGTCAGGAACCAAACTTATGTTCTTCTAACCAAGACATTAACTTCTTAAAAACAAAACAAGATTTTTTAAAAAATATTTTACTGTTTTTTCAGGTTTACTTGTTATAATTCTAAACACATTAACTGCTGAGAAAAATTTGTTTTAAACCATTTTCACAGCAGCCTGAGACTCTTGTACAGTACTGTGGTAAATGAGATATCCTCACGTGTTTCCTGAGGTGTACCACTTTGTTTCATATGGGACTGTTTTTTCTGTAGCACCATTTTGATCACCCCTGCATGTTAACATCATGCCAAAACAGCAGTTTGTGGTTGGTCGCTCTACATGTCAGTCAAACGGCCCTTTCCTGGTCAAATAGCTGTCTTTGGCTATTTTGAGCGATGAAATCCCCCTGATCCTCTAACAAAAGGCAGAAGTCTGGTTTGTGAGACTTCTGCTGCACAGACCTCTTTACACACTGCTGAGAGACTAAAGTGAGCTTCTCCACAGTGTAATTGAGTTTTAATGAATACATTCATTTCTCTCTCTCTTTCTCACTCACTCTCTCTCCCACACACACACACACAGTGTAAAATATTTAGTGATGTTATCTACTCACTAGAGGGGCTTCTAAATCTTGTAAATATTTACAAAACGCTTAAAGGAGGAATCGAAAAGAGAGCTAGAGAGAGTGACAGAAGAGGCCAGTGAGAGTTGTCACAGATCCCTCCTCAATCCCGTGCTTCCCAGTTTTATTCTGAGGTTATGAAGTCTCTACATACAATAGAAATCAGAAAGAAAGCACAGAGATGAAAAGTTCATTTTAAATTGCCATTTATACTCAAAACACACAGAAACAAGCGTCCGGGGTGTGTGAGGGACAGGAAGTTTGCCGCCCACCGCTGAGGGCTTGGGAAATCTGGCTATTCAGTGTTTTGTGGGTTTGACCTCTGACAGCAGACATACAGGAGTTGGCCAGCCATGTGGGTGTGTGGGAGAAACTCTCTGATGTGATTCATTCAGTCTGGGACTAAATGACAATGTCAGAGATAGAGAATATCTCCCATACATAAATACTTACGTTTACAAAACATAACTGTTTTTACTGATTGTTTTGGGGCTGGTCAGAGTACAGATTTAACCGCTATAGAGAAAATTTTGTCCTGCATTCGATATAAACTCATTGGCAATTTTTCAGCTGTTTTCAACTTTCAAGTTATCCAACAGTTTGAAGCCATCAGTGTGGCAGACTTATCCTTGTGTAAGAGATCTGTAAGTTTACTCACAAGACTTTTAAAGAGGGAAAATATCCCATTCTAAGTTACTTTATGTTTAATGTTTTGTTTTAGGATGATTAAAAGCACACACACACCACACACACACACACACGTATTAGTTACATATTCACATAAGTGTGACTACTAATGCTATGAATAC